TCTAAGACATTTATATAATTTTTGTATGCATGGAATTTAAAGGTTATCAAAATATATCAAGAATATAAGTATAAGCTGAAGAATATCTTTGAAAATTAAATTCTTATAGTAGGATAATAGATATAAAAGCAAAGAATGTATATCTTTTTTCAAATTCTATTATAATAGACACTTAATATTTAGATGCCTCGTTTTTATTTAATAAACAGTGTGTATTAAGTCTATATTCTGCGCATTCGAGAAATCTTTGTAAAGAATATGTGTACTCCGGCAAGGATCGAACTTGTGTTCCCCTCTTTTAAAAATGGAAAATAGAACCATGCTTGCTGTGCTGTTCTTCGTGGCTGAGCAGTAAAAAATGCTGGATCAAACGATGGTTTCTCCTACAAAGGGGGCGCAGTTTTGGTTTTCTGCTCTGTTGGTTTTACCTTTCCTTAAATATCTCGTATGACGTGTGAAGACGCGATATTTGACAGACGATTGAACTGTCATAGCGCAAAGCAAACCACCTTGTGGCTGGGTTATGACAACCAAATGTAGGCAGAGATTTGAAAATTTATATTTAAATTTTTGACTTTTCACTGGGATTTATAAAAATAGTCCGAAATAAAAATAGACAAAAATAAATCCTAAACAAAGAACTTTTATTAATATTTAACCAAACCGGTATAAGAAAAAATGCTTCCCTAAAACACCTTGCGTATCTATTGTACATACCGATCGATTTATCTATCTATCTATCTCTCTATATATTCATTATATTATGTACAGAAGAGTATGCTATTTAAAATTCATTTAAAGATCTTTTCTTTACATGTAAAAAAATAACATTTTTGATATATATAATTAAAAATAAATAATAGCTGGCCATTCGTATTCAGAATATCCGTCTCCTAGGGCGGCTAGTCAGTCTCTATATTACAGACGCTTGCTCAGGCGCATTTGTGTTTGCTCCACACCCACAGAGCCCACCTGTGGTTTATAATGTAAGTATGCTGAGCAGACCTTAGTTACAGTTTCTGGGAGAGAGCGTGTTATCTAGCGTGATCAACAATTTGAATAAGGCCAGCACGCTCACGGCCACGATGACTTTTGGTTTTATGCTACCACAGCTATCGACGGCTCACAAGAGTTCCGTCTACCCAATTTAACTCACAAGGCTTGGGTGAACCCGTGGTATGTTTTTCAGCCACTTTCCAAAGATGCCGCACGTTAGGATCGACCCTGATCCTATCCAGTCCGATAACATCAGGAAGTTTTTTTCCTAACAAATCAACCATGGTGAAGGTTAGGGTTAGGGTTAGGGTTAGGGTTAGTACAGATATATATATATATATATATATATATATATATATATATATATATATATATATATATAAAACATTAGGCAGCATATGATTTACATACAAAAGAATAAACACATAGAATTAATTTTCTAGCGATGGATGTCGCAAATAATCGCATTGATACTTCTGATTAATTCTATGTGTTTTATTCTTTATATATATATATATATATATATATATATATATATATATATATATATATATATATTAACTTGGATAACTTATATAGCAATTTTATAATTTGAGAGAAAGCGGAGGAAGATTACCCCAGAAGTAGAGAAAACATGGAACAGAAAAAAAATGGAATAAATATTTTGCATTTATAAGTTAATAACCAAGAAATCCTTAGAGATGACGAAAGAATGAAAAATCTCGTAGAATGGAATGCAAAAAAGCTTATAACTCTGAATAATGGAATGCTTAGATATGCTAAAAATGTCAGAACATGTGGTCACATTCCAATCTGCTACGATGAAGAAAGGGAGAGTAAGGTTAATTGCAGAAGGGTCCCTAACAAGAACAAACTTTATCTCCATTACCTTTCGTAATAACAATGATACCACGTAACTGCCCCCTACACAACTGTGAAGGAGGATATTTTTTTCGACATTATGGTTGATACTGTACAAGACCACTTGCGGTAGAGGGTTACAGAGTAAGAGGCACAGACTATGCGGGGATGTGGGAAAGATAGCGTTTAACCTGAAACTTGAATAGGTTAAGATTCTAGTGTTCTGGAAAGCATCACTTAGGGAGACGGATTCACAAAGCAGGTAGAGGGTTACAGAGTAAGAGGCACAGTCTATGTGCTCAACAGATTTGGTGATCGATATATTTGGTTATCAACAGATTTGGTAACCAGATGTGGTGATCAACAGATTTGCCCATCAGATTTAGCGAACAGATTTGGCGATCAAATTTGGTGATCAAAAGATTTGGTGATCAAAAGATTTGGTAATCAAAAGATTTGGTGATCAACAGATTTGTTCATCAACAGATTTGATGACCGAATTTGATAACCCGATTTGATGATCAAATTTGGTAATCACATTTGGTGTCCAGATATGGCGAACAGAACTGGTGATCTAGTAGGTTGGTGCAAAAATAATGACGTAATAATGTCGTTTTTTGACGTATTTTTAACGTCAAAAAACGACATTATTATGTCATTATTTTTGCACCAACCTAATAATTTGATGAACAGATTTGATGAACAGATATGGTAATCAAATTTCGTGAACAACTGATTTTGTGATCCATAGATCTGGCGATCAACAAATATGGCGACCAGATTTGGCGATCAGATGTGCTGATAAACTGATTAGTGACTAAGAGATTTGGTGATCAACAGATTAGTTGAACATATTTGGTGTTTAGCAGATTTAGAGATGAAATACGTTGAACAGATTCGGTGATCTGATTTGGTGAACAGATTTGGTGTTCAACATGTTTGATTTCTTTCCTATTACATCAACACACACACACACACACACACACACACACACACACACACATATATATATATATATATATATATATATATATATATATATATATATATTTATTGGGGAAAGATATATGACAAATTGAAAATTCATGTTTCTCCCTTTAATCGGACTAAGTTTATGTTTCCGTTGATGCTACACATGCGCACGGAGAAGCGATGCTGGGAATTTTAAATTTAAAGATGATTATTTCAAAATATGTTTTGTGGGTAGAAAATCTCACCGATTTCATTTAGATTCTTTTTATTTTTCTTTGTGTTTACACCACTTTTGTTATTAAACATCCGGCATTGTGATAATAGATCTGCCAAAAAAGGTGAAAAGTTCTAAAAACCTGGACGCAAATTTGCTACAGGTGATCTCACGATTAAAACACTTCCTAAGAATTTTCTTATTAGTGAATTCATTTCATGTTTAATTAGAGTAGCATTTTTATATAAAAATTGTGGTCAGTATCGTTCGATGAACAAGTTATGCATTTAACGTGTTGCTTGGTAAAATATCTCTTTTGTGTTCATGTAATCTTTTATTCAAATTCTTTGAGGTTTCTTCCATGTATTCATTGTGGCAATTATTACAATTAATAGAGTAAATTCCTACTTCAAGTTTTATCCTATTGTTTTGTTTTGTATTAATTAAGTCTTTTATTGTTTTAGACTTGATTTTGACAATTTTTATATTGAGTTTAGTAAGTTGTTTTTAATTGCAGTTGTGGTAGAGATAGAGGGTAGAAAAATATTGAGGGTTGCAAAGGCTTCACTCAAGCAATGATCACTGCCACACTAGAAACCAACAATGAAGGAACTCTACCATCGAGCCACTCAAATTCACTAAGGAACCTAGCAAAAAATGGTGAACTGGTATGAGTGCTACTATGTAACTATACGACTTGTAGACTTTTGAAAATGTGCGCGCGTGTGTGTATGTGCATGTGTGTGTATGTGTGCGTGTGTCTGCGTGTGTATGCTTGTCTAGAAGAATAATGCCTGCCCACATGATGTCCGTGCTATTCAAAATGCTTAGCAAAAATTTAACAATTTTCTTGGCTAGCCCCAATGCCATTCATAACTTCTATTATACAAGTATAGGTATAGATGGCCCACCCCTGACTTATTCAGTTAACTCACATTCACTCAAAATAATATGAATAATAAAAGTTGTTCATATTTTCTTAGCATCAGTTATCTCATAATATATATATATATATGTGTGTGTGTGTGTGTGTGTGTGTAATTATTTATTTAAAAATTATAACATAAATATGTTATAAAATCACTACAAAAATAGCCATTTTGTTTCAACACCTCTGGTGTTTTATCAAGTGATGATGTTGAATGTAGATTGTACTGTGCATTGAGCACTCTTTTAAGGATAGTAATTGTTGGTTATTCGAATTTATTCCGTATACACCAATCATATACTTTATATATATATATATATATATATATATATATATATAGATGTGTGTGTGTGTGTGTGTGCGCGCGCGTGTGTACACTTTTGAATAAATCTGATGGAATGAACTTATATCTTTTTTAATTAATAATTATTAAGATAATTATGTAGGAAAGTTTTTCTGAAAAGAGAGGTGGAAAAAGTAAACAAAAAACTCTTTGATAATCGCTGATGAAATCCGAAATCGCCTAGATGTATGTTAATTCATGTTTAAATTTTCTCCTGAAGCAAGAAACAGTCTCAACCGTAGGAAAAAAATCCCATAAAAACACCTTAAAAAAGAAAAGAAAACCTTTCGTTCTTCTTCGAGCAAACCTGCAGAAGTAAATTTTTAGGATGAGGAATTATCATTACTTGTACTATTGTCCCCATCTTTGTTGTTGTTATCATAACGTTACGGCCGTTGTGCCCTCCGGCCTTCATCAGGTGTATGTTGATCTGAGTAATCTACAACCGAACCCTTTATTTAATCTATGAGGGTAGACTGTTCTCGTTCCACTGTCGAGGGATATCTCGTCTAGTTCATATTTTTAGTACTGCTGAGTTATTGCTCTCCTTGTTTCGACTGAGTTCAAGAACACACTGCCCGACCCAGGGATTGAAATCACAATTACACAAATAGTAAGTAACCAAATCTACAGTCCACTATGCTATTGTCCCGTAAGACGGAAAATGACATACGATGTTGACTTCTATGTCCATTCTATCTATCTATCTATCTATCTATCTATCTATCTATCTATGTCTCTGCCTGTCTGTCTGTCTGTCTGTCTGTCTCTCTCTCTCTCTCTCTCTCTCTCTCTCTATATATATATATATATATATATATATGTATACATATGCGTGTTTGTATGAAAGTGAAATAATGAGACAATGTGGAAAAGTTTATAGAAGACGTGTTTCGCCACGTGTCATGTGTTGAGTTCGGCTCGTTGAAGAATGAAAGACAAAAATGTGTTTAAATAAAATAAGCTTTGGATTTTTGAAGATAATAAGGCAATCAAATAAATGACCTTATCAGGTACGAGGGCCAGAAGGCGTTTATTTTATTTTGTATATTAGAACCTTTGGTGTCCGTTAGATTTTAAATCAGCCCTCTCCGGGTTGTTCTCTGATTTCCGTCTTTGCTCATATCCCATATCGTTCTATTATTACTTTTGCCATGATATTATGTATGGTACTGGTCCTATCTTTATTGTCGAAAACTGTGCTTGAATATATATATATATATATATATATATATATATATATATATATTATTTATTTAAAAATATGATTCAAACTCGCGACATAAGAAGTATCATGTTTCAAAACAAGAGCCGAAAACTTCAATATAATTATTTGAATTAAATTGAGTTAAAATAAGCTCTGTTCCATCTTCAAGCGAAATTTTTTTGGAATAACGTATTTCTGAAATTTACGTGTTTTAATAATTGAAATCAAAATTTCCATGGTAACAGCTAGGGCGAATTGTTTTAATTGGGTAGGCGTGTGTTGGGTGTTAATAATAAGTATTAGTATAGAGTTACTTTCATAGATGTCAAGTCAGGGAAAGGTGGGGGTGTCTAAAGTTGAAACGGAATATATATATATATATATATATATATATATATATATATATATATATATATATACACGTTTCATTAAAGACGGCTGACAAGGTAGTGCGATTAATCTTTTTATTCAGTTTCTTTTGTGTTTGCATAAGCGTTTTCTTTTTTTGGACATAAAGTGTCTAAAAATTGTTGGAATGTTCTATATATTCGAGCGTATTCGGCCCTCAAAAAGTGTGGATGGTGGATGGTCCTGCACGAAACCTTCACCACTATAATCAAATCTCATGTGCTGTCGGTTTTCCTGGGAACTGATCTGCTTGACCCTCATACGGGAGAGTCGAGTATATGAAGAGAGAGAGAGAGAGAGAGAGAGAGAGAGAGAGAGAGAGAGAGAGAGACTGTGTATTTTCTATCATGAATGGAAAAGATTGATAAATATTAACAAGTTAATAAATAACGGATGGAAGAAATAAACAAAGCGATCAAGGCAAAAAGGGTGGAAGATATGCATTGAAAAGGCTTTATTGATGAACTTAAAGCAAGCGACTGAGATAGGCCGATAGCTAGACAGAAAGTCAGATGAAAATAAATGGTCATTCTGAACACATAAAAGAAAGAAAGAGGAAGAAAAAGGCAGAAAAAAAAAAAGAAAGAAGGTTAGATCGATAACGAAAAAAAAAAAGGATAGATAGCAAAGGACTGAGATAGATGAATAGATACATAGATGCATATATTAATATTTTGAGATTGATTATATAAACTCAGAAATAGAAAAAAAGGAAAACAAGAAGATCAACATATTTAAACGAATAGAGTAGCAAGTGGACAGAAGCAGACAGACTTTATGCCCATATATATATATATATATATATATATATATATATATATATATATATGTGTGTGTGTGTGTGTGTGTGTGTTTGTGTGTGAGTGATTCCTTTTTTTTTATTCGACTTTCTCAGGCAGCAAACATTGAAATACCGTATAAACTCGCCTATTATGCGAATTTGAAGACGTAATTTTAAAGCTTATTTTAAGGGGGTCGCATCATACACGAGATATAAAATTAGCGTATGTAGTGTTGGTCCTGACTACGCTATTGACCAAACTATATATCCACTTGCTGTAGTCAAATTAGCTTCAAATTCAAACTTCTCATCTACAAATCTACCATTTGTCCATATATGGAATACTGCTGCCATATATAGTCTGGTGACCCCATTGTTCATCACGAGGTCCTCCACAAAATCCAAAGACGGATATGAAATGTGATCGGTTCTGACTTGGAATCTCGACTCCAGTCACTTTCTCACAGATGTGGCTTCCCTCTGTCTTTTCTACAAATATCTTCATAGCATCTGCTTTGACGAGCTATTTTCACTGGTGCCCCGACTGCATGGATTTAAGCGTGCTACTAGGTTAGCATCTCGGTCCCACCGTTTTACTGTCGAAACACTTAAATGTAACAGCCCCTTTAACTCCAACAGCTTTTACTCTAGCACTTCCCGACAGTGGAACTCCCTTCCTATTACTTGTTTCTCTGATAGCTGGAATCTTCAAAAAATTAAATGTAATGTCAATCGACATCTTATGATGCCGTTCTTCTTTTTATCTTTTTCTCAGTCCCCCCCCCGCTATACCCAGTCTTTTCTTTTACTTTCACTTTCTGGAATCCCTTGCGTACTAGGGGCACTCCTACCTTGTTTGGGCTGAAATGCTCATAAAAAAACATAGGTCTTCAAAGGGTGCATGATTCGTCAGTGTATACAGTACATAAAACTCTTGAAATTCTAAAACAAAAGAGGGTAAAGATGTCCGTTTTCATTCTGATTTCTTCTATTAAACTTTGATATTGCAAGTTTTAATTAAGATCAAGGAAAAGGGCGAAAGGAAAATAAAGAGAGAAATGGAAAGAGTGAGAAAGAGAGAGAAGAATAAATCAATAGAGTGAATGAAACTGTAATGCGTGTGTGTGTGTGTGTGTGTGTGTGTGAGAGAGAGAGAGAGAGAGAGAATAGGGTGTATAAGACGAGGCAAGAAGGCAAGTGTGATATAGAAAACAAGAAAGTTGAAAAGATATGAACACAATTGCGTATCAGATATGCTGGAGTCCCGTTCAGATTGGGTTACTAATTTCAGGCTTCTCCCCTTGTACCATGTGGCGCCCTCTCGCGTCACATGCAGGTCACTAAGACGTCCCATTTCAACAACCACTTAAACATCCTTTCAGATATAATTTTTCTCGACATACATTTGCTTGGTTAGAAGCAAAACTATTCCGAGAACGTAAGAAATAAAACAAATCGGCTGTTGATGCTGGAATAAATGCGAGCGTCTATGTATGCATGTGTAAATACGTCAAGTGTTCCTGGTTGGCTTAATTTTGCCTATACACACGTATATATCGGTGCTTGCATTTCAAAAGCATGTTGAGGCATTTGAGTATGCGGGAAATTTGCATGTCTATTTTGTTTTTATTTTGTCAGCATTCTTTCTCTCTTTTCATAAACGTCATTGCTTCCGTTTTTTCTTTTTTTTTTTCTTTGTCTTCGTTACGTTTTCTTTATTTTCAAAAGATGCTTTCGTTTGTTTTTTTTCTTTAACCTAGTTTTTATTTTCTTCTTTTTAACTTTGTTTGTTTGTTTTATAGTTATTAAATATCACTGTTTTCTTTTTTTTTAATTTTTTCTTTTTGCTTTATGGTATGTTTTCTCGCTTCTCTAAGTTTCTTTGTTTTTAAATTTTTGATCTTATTTCTTTCTCTTTGTTTTTCTTTCTTTCTTTTATAAATGTTTTTTTTCTTTAATGTTCTCTTTTCATTTTTTTAAAAATTATCTTTTCATTATCATATATTTTCTTTTTCCATGCTCTTTCTTTAAAAAAATATTTTCTTTTTTTCATCGTCTTGTCCCTCCAAATCTTTCTTTTCTTCTGTAGCTGTTCTTTCTTTCTTTCTTTCTTTAATTTCGTTCATTTAATTTTTTTTAATAATTTTAATTATTACTATCCTATATAGTTTTTCCAAAATTTTCTTTCTTTTTTCTTTCTTTCTTTCTTTCTTTCTTTCTTTCTTTCTTTCTTTCTTCTTTCTTTCTTTCTTTCTTTCTTTTTTCTTTCTTTCTTTCTTTCTTTCTTTCTTTCTTAAATATTTCTTTTCTTTAAAAAAAAATCTTTCTCTTTATCGTATATTGTTTTTTTTTTGTCCGAAATGGTCTTTAAAAACATTTTTCCTTATTTCTTTCTCTCAATCTTGCTTTGTTTTCTTACTTTTATAAATGTGTATTTCTTTCTTTCTTTCTTTCTTTCTTTCTTTCTTTCTTTCTTTCTTTCTTCATTGTTAACTTTTCATTCTCTAAATCTTGCTTTTTTTCTTTTTCTTTTTTTTCTTTCAGTCACATTTTCTTTTGGCCTGCAAATGATTTTTGATACTTCCATAATCAGAAACAGCTTTTGTCTCTGTGAATAAATATAGAAACTGCTCATAGAAAGAAACATCTGGAACCCGTTTCACATTTTTTAGGCATCGGGCTTATGTAAATGCATATCACACAATTTAATACCAAAAAGCACCAATAATTATTCATTTTTCCTTTCAGTTTGAAATTTTATCAACATGAGACAAAACGATTTGATGAAACCAAGGAAATTCTTCCGTCTGCCAATTCGAATTATTTCAATGGCTAATCAAACTGAGAATAAAACAAAGTAGGAAATGAGTTTACGCTTAAGTAATTAATACAAGGGAGGTTATAATAAATGGGAGGGTTGGAATTTATTTTATTATTCAATAAACGGTGGGGGGCGGAAATCATTTAAAGGGTCATCTAAGAAATGAATAAATCTTAATTAGGGTTGCGGTCGGAAAATTTCCTAAAAAAAAAACTAAAACTTTAATACATATATATATATATATATATATATATATATATATATATATATATATATATATATATATATATATATATATATATATTATCCAACGTCAATAACACTACTCGGAGTTTCATATAGTTAATGCAATATTCAGGTGTGAATTCTGACCGATATGATTGCATTAACTGCATGAAACTCCGACTTGTGCTATCGACGTTGGATATTATGTATATTCACTAATTTATATTTATAGCTCTGTTTTATAACAGTGAGCACTGTATTTATGACACCTGAGGAAGAAATATACTTATGTATGTACGTGCAAGTATTTGTGCATGTATGTAAATTTTTTTATCCTACCCATTCCTATACTATCGTTCACTCAGGACAAGTCTTAAGTGTCACTCAAGGTAGAAGTTTACTGAATCGGGATGTTGTAAGGGCGTATAAGGAGGAAGCGAGTGTTATATATTAAGAGGATATGTATTGCAACCTAGGGAAGTTTACTGAATAGAATAATCAATTGGACGATAATACTTAGGACAAGAACAACACACATAAGATTCGCCAGCAGCGCATAGAAGTAGTAGTCAACTGCTAGAAGTGAGTCAAGTGAATTCCACAATAAATCTTCAGCCGCAGGATATCCACCAACCGCCGACGTGGTCAGATGTGGCCGAAGGTCGAATGTAATTTCGGGTATCCGAACCTATAGGCTGGGCCAAAAATTCCCAAAATTTACAAAACGGGGTCGGGTAGCTGTTTCACGAGACGAGACTCTGCCCTTCGACATAGCCTCGTCTGGGGATCGTCTCTACCCGGAGGCAGTGACTTTGACCAGCACAGCTAGAAACAAATCTCCGACTACAGACCAACATACAGTATTTACTACTGAATTCATGTGAATGGAGACATACCCAACATCATATGCTACAACATTATGTAGGATAAATAATGGTTGTCTTAAACTTGAAGAAATTAAATTTGCACTGATCAGAAAAGCATCTTCTTGGGAGTTCGTTCCACATTGTTACAATTCTGGCGACGAAGTTGCCTGAATGAAAGTTTCGCCTCACCAATAGAATATGAAGGGAATGGAAATAAGTCGACTCAGTGTATGCAGCATGGCGTGGCCTAGCTGTGAATGTCTGAACGGTGTGAACCAAGGAATGTATTTCACTCGAATATCTGCCATGAAAATACTGGTAGAGCAGCGAGAGGCTAGCAACGCTTTGCTGGAAAGTGTTTGATAGCTAGAAAACAATTAATCACCCATAAGGCCGCGCAAACACTTTTGATTTCCGTCGTGGCTGGGAAGCGGAGATTCGAGGTGTTGGAATTTTTCTCAGGGGCAGAATAGATATCATTGAAAAGATTACTATGTAAATTGTCAGTCCCTTCCGTATCATCGCAGAGGGCTCAGTTGCACAGATATTAGGAGACACAAGGCGCTATTCTGTGTTAACATGACACTATTAAAGTTTAATTCCAACAATCTGGTCTATTAGGTTCTGCTCTTGGCAACATCCTGGTGTGGATATCCTCAAAGTAACGCTGGCTTCCGGGTGCTATACCTTGCCAAATCCTTCACCTAGACAGATTAGAAACCAAGGCTAGAGAATCTGTGTTTTCTGCTATTTAACCTATAGTGGGGGGAGAAGAGATGGATTCATATTACATTTTCGCGTAAGTGAATGTAACGAATTTGACTGGAATTCGAACACGGTTCTGAGATTTTTCATTCCTCATCGTTAACCATTAAAGCACCATACGAAAAGGAAATTTTCAAAAAGTGCATCGTTATTAAATTGGGTTTGTCTTAATAAGATCGCGCTTTTGGAACATTTCTTCAAGTTAAAAAAAAGTCCTCGTTTATTAGGCAAATAATACGATTCTATCAATGAGATGAGCACGAACACTAATTGCCGAAGTCTGTACGTCTCCTCCCAAATCAAAAGTTTTCTTATATAAGTCATGAATCTAGGACGAATGTAGAAATTAGTTAACTAAAATGAAGTTTAAAAGCTTTATAAAAGTAAAAACTAATCAGTATTCTTTGGAGAAATATAATTAGTTTTCACAAGTTGGACCTATCTATGCATTCTACATATGTAGTTTTGCGTCAGACTATGTTCAGTCGAGACAACATTTGCTTTTAAATTTATCGAGTTTTCCAGTCAATTGTCTGATACTCTTTAATACCGGCGTCGCTTGACTGAATGAGAATTATTCAAATAATCAAATGTCTACGCTTATATTCCACATTACTTGAAAGCGTTTGTCGAAATTATGCAGGAAAGTTAATATGAGGGGGTGCTGGAAATTTCTCGGCCTGACCGAAAGAAGTCTTCCCAATCAAATTCTCATGTTTTTACTAACCACTCATACAAATGAAATAGTTGAAATAATTAAATTTAATTTGAATACAATGCAAAGAAAATGAAAAAAAAAAAGAAGTCACTTAGCACAATGAAAATGACTCCGCGTTCAAGAATAACACTACATATAAACAATTTGTGAACAAAAATATTTTTCAATATCGGTCCGGACTGTTATCTTTATTTTCATTCTCTCATTCTCAACGTTTCGGCCGTTGTATGCTTCAGCCTTCTCCGAATGATATTTGTTTGAATTTCGAACCGAACTCCGAATAGCCAATCTGTATTTTGGCGTTATATCTCAGCCCATTTGAGGAAATAAACATGAGAAAAACGTCTACACAAACAAAATCGAACCAATCTTCAGAAACACCAACATACAGATTGTTTATTGTTGTCATATTAACAACGTTTCAGCCGTTGTACGCTCCGGTCTTCTTCAGGTGACTGGAATTTCGAACCGAATCCTTTATTTCGTCCACCGGAGTAGATAGTTTTAGTTAATATTTTTACTATTCTTTTTAAGAAGATTAAGATATATATATATATAGGCAAATTTGGGCAAAATATATATGCCTTAATAACAGATGATCTCTTAAAACTATGACAAATATAGTGCATTTATATTTTCAATGAGTATGAGACATTCATATACCGATGGCTGCTAAAAATATCGTAGTCATGCTGGTAAAATCTGCAGAACTCATTGAATGCTTCAGATCGCTTCAATGACTGTGCAAAATCTGATATGAGGTCAACATTCATATATTGATATTAAAAAAACATTCTCGTCGTAACGTAGCTTCCCTGTGTCGTTTCTATAAATAATTTAATTGTGATTGTTCTGATGAGGTTTTTTCTTTGGTATCTAGACTTTACGCAAATGGGAAAATCAGGAATCCATCTCTTCTCCTCCCAGCTATGGGTTGAATTGCAGGACAAACTGGATCCTATAGATAACCAGTTTATCGCTGAAAGCAATGGAAACCGAATGCGAGAAAATCTTCTGTCTAATCAGTCATGAATCGAAAGAGCCGTGGTCACCTAAGCGTGTATCAAGTATGGCTGACTAGATTGGCAGCCAGGTTACATTTTACAGTCGAAATGGGTAGATGTAAATTCTATGCTAAGAGTTTCTCTTGTCGCACTTCTCGCTTGTGGAACTCTCTTCCGATTTCTTACTTCCCAGTGAAGTTTGACCCTCAAAAATTTAAATGCAACGTCAGTCTTTATGGCTTTTTAATTCTTGTTCTTTATTTTTCTCTCTCCTTAATGTGTTCTTTTTCTCATAGTCACTCATACTAATTAACTCCTTGTGTCTTAGTGGCTTTATTAGTTTTTCTTGAGGTGAAATGTTTTTTAAGAAATATTTCGTCTCCACTGCTCAAACATTTCAATGAAATTCATAGAAGGAAGATTTTGATGAAATACGAGGAGGGAATTTTTATTTTATTTTAATCATCACCAGTATTTTTCTCATCTATATACAGGCATACCTCTCGCATAATGGTAATATATTAGCTAGATGAAGACACTATTGTCGCGAATGTTTGACCATTATTTGGGTAGTATTTCTGGGAGGTATATGTCGGAGGTATTTTTGCCTCACCCTGTATATCCGATAAATAGCAGAAACGTAGAGAAATCGAATGAATCCTTAATTTTCTTGCCTTTAGAGAAAGCAAACAAGAAGGAGGCTTATATTTAACATCAGGAAGAGGTAGTTGAAGTTTCTGGGACACATAATAAGGAAGAAGGGCCTGGAGAATCTGATACTCACGGGTCGAATTTAGGGAAAAAGAGACAATGAAAAACTACGCCTGACATACCTAGCGGGCTTAAGCAAGTGGTTGACAGAACGTGGTTTGGGGGTAGGTGGAAGAGGGAAGGAACTTGTTGAGAGCTACAAGGGATACAGGGAGGTGGAGAGCCATGATCGCCAACGTCCTGAAATGACATAAAAATAAAGTAAAAAGAAAACAAACAGTATCTGGCGGAAACATCAATGATTCTCTACTCTGACAAACTCATTTTGATTTCTTCACAGCTCAGAAAGGAAAAAAATCAAGGAATGCTTCTCTGATTTCCTCTTAAATTCTCTCTTGGGATTTGACATACTCCAGTCAAAATATGTGAGAAATGTTAATTCCTCATATTACAGACAAACATTTGGATATACTCGCCCGGCTATTGTCCTGACTGCTTGCTCGGTACTTAAAAAAGCTTTTGACTGGTAACGATATGAATTTTAGTATCAAAGAAAATTGCAGTTTTCAAAATTACGATCACACGAGGTAACCGAATCATTGTTTTTTCAAAGATTCGATATATATATATTTTTTTTTTTTACTAATATTTTCCTATATCTATGATAGAATGTTTCTTTTTCTTTTTGGCTTACGGTCACAGCATGTTGAAACACCGATTCTCGTTCGATCGCCGAAGTTAAGCAACGTTGTTCCTGGTCAGTACCTAGATGTGTGACCGTTTGGGAATACCGGGTGCTGTAAGCTTGGACGTGCGAGTGGTGTCATGGATAATGGCAAGGAATTGTTAATTGGAGAACCGAGTTTCAATTTCCAATTGGGTTCGTTATAGTCACTTACGCGTAAATCCATTTGGGAAAGGTATGAATTCACTTCTTCTTTCTCAACTATGGGTTAACTAGTAAAACTTGTATCACTAAATCATTATTTTTAAAGTATTATTATAAAAAATTTCACAATGTAAAAATAATCTGCTTAGGGTTGATGAGCCGTAGAAAACGATTAATTCGTTCATTCATTCTTGTTGTTGTTGTTGTTCTTCTTCTTCTTCTTTTTGCCGTGTCCTACGGAACGCGGGTAATCATTGTTCTCCACAATTTCCTATTCTTTGTATCTCTTAGCTATACAGAGGGTGGTCCGAACGTCATGTCACCCCTATATAATATAATTTTCTATTTACGATGTCTGCCACGAAAATGATGGCGTTCGTACAGATCTTCTCGATGTGTGACAGCGTCAATAAGAGTGAATAAACTGAATCAGGTAAATGTGTTTTGTATTACTGTATTACTTGTTCTTCACATTACCTTTTGGTAGGGCGTGACAAGACTTTCGGATCACGCTGTACCATGACCAAGAAATGGGTTATGTGTTTAATACTGAAGAACAATACAAAACTGATCCCTTAGGATTTACTATCCTTTCATTTGATTGCCTAAAATTATTTTTGGGAATTTAATCTATGAATTTACAAGATGGTCCGAGAGTCTTGTCATCCTTATATGATATAATTTTCTATTTCAATGTCAGCCACGAAAATGATGGTGTTCATACAGACCTTCTCGATGTGTGACAACGTCAATAAATAAAAAATAATGTGTGGATAAACTGAATCCAGTACATTTGCTTTGTATTACTGTATTACTTGTTGTTCTATTGTTCTCGTTACGTTTTGGTAGGGTTTGACGAGACTCTAGGACGAGCCTGTACATTTGTTTACTATCCTTCCAATACTCATTTCTGTCATGCATTTATACAAGATTGTTTGGTTAATGCTGTTTCTCTTTGTTCCTCTTTCTTATACCCCAAGTTGTTGGGATGAACAAAAACGAATGAAAATAAAATGTATTTAAACACATTATAAAAGAACTTTTATTCATTTACGGTGTTATGATTTGTTGGATTGAAAACCATGAATTTCACGTGCATTTCAGCTTGTCACCATGTCTGATTCAATAGTGACGCACTCCTACTAGCGAACAAGGGAAGTAACTCAATTTTATTTTGCGTTATAGTCCTTTATAGGGAAAGTAAGTAGGCATCCCATAACACTCTTGATTTAAGTATGTTCCGGGAGTGACACATTTACCCAAGCCATCTTTCCTCATTATCTATCTTAAAATTTCAGCAGTCAGTTTCTGATTCTAAGTATAAGTGACCTTTTTTTTGGTTTTCATTTTCCTTAAAATGACACATTGTTCCTCCACGGTATTCTTCACATTTTCTATAGAACCACATCTCTGTTGCTTCAAACATACTCTTTCTCCGTGAAGAGATTTGCCAGCATTCGCTGCCATATAGAGAACACACACACACACACACACACACACACACACACACACACACACACACACATATATATATATATATATATATATATATATATATATATATATATATATATATGAACATTTCTCAGAGTTAACCTGTAGAAAAGATTAATAATTATAACAAAAAAAAGAATGTTCTTAATGGTCTTACATTCTGTTTTTGTTATTATTAGTTACGTTCTTTAATTAAATTCATTTCGTTTTTGCTTTGAGAAAGTCCACATTGAACGAAACGCGTCAGCAATAAGTAGTTTTCCTATTGTCATATATATATATATATATATATATATATATATATATATATATATATATATAAATAATGGACTCTCCTGTCGGTTTCGACGTATGAAGATCTGACAGCTTTTTGATTCGGTTATGAAAGTTTGTGCGATAATCTTGTGGCATTTAAGACCCGCTAGTGATTTACAAAGGAGGCCGCATATGGAGAATTTGGAGATGAGATCACTGTTAGATTGGGTGACCTTTTAGATCTTGCTCTCGCTTCTTGAAGATGATTCAGACAAGCAGATTGAAAACTGCTGAGTCCACTAAAACACGTTGATCTCCATTCTACCCGCTCCAAGGCTAAGCGCTCAAGGGTGTTGTGATATATTGACTGCTGACAAGTTGCTTTTCAGCTTGTCTTTGTATCTTAGACATGGGCGTCCTACATTCCTGTAGCCCTGATCTAACTGACTGTACATTAGGATCTTGGGTATCCTCTCATCAGACATTCTCAAGACATGACCAGTCCACCGTAACTGAGACTGTATGATAAAAGTCTCGATTCCTCCAATATTACACCTGTTAAACAGGTCTACGTTAGATGTCCTATCTTGAAACTTAACTCCACAGATTGCACGCAGACAGCTTTTATGGAAAACATCTAGCTGGCGTATATGGTACCTGTATGGA